CTGGGCAGCAGTTGCAGTGCAGTCCCACGTCAGGCTTGCTAGGTGTCCTTCGTGCTTGTGAACTGGGTGCTTCGAAGGAGGGAGGGCTGTTGCCCTCTGCATCAGGGATCTCCGAGCTGTTGGTCTTTTAGCCCGCTTGCAGAATTGCCCATTTTGTTTCTTCCTCTCCTAGTTGTGGGTCTCCTGGGCTCACAGTGAATGCAGGAGCTGCAGCTCTTGTCCCTTGGAGCGTGTCTCAGGTGACCGAAGGTGGGTAGCACTGCAGGGGCTGGCTGTCAGCTCCAAAGCCCTCCGCTCCTTCCTCTGCATCCAGCGGGAGCTGGGCCTTGCTCCTGGAGCTTACAGCACGGCTGCGGGCTGGTGACCACGCTCCGGGGCACATCCTAGGCACTGAAGGCAAGGGCTGGGCTGGAGCAGGAATTGAGAGGAGAGCTGCGGTGCCTGGGGCTGGCAGCGAGGGGCTCGTGGGAGCCTGCCCAAGGCTTGCTGTCAGTCCCACGGGAGGCAGTTGCTGAGGGAGCTGCAGCCCGTCTCCTCGTCCCCCCGAGCCAGCAGCACGTCCTGGACGCGGGCAGACGTGCGAATCCTGGAGCTACCTGTGACTTCACAGAGCAAATATGTGGTGGAAAATTGCTCTGCACCCAGGCAGGCCCTATCACACAGCTGAGAGTAATTGCCACACGGCTCTCTGCAGATGTCTGCCTGTCCCCCCAGCGCCAACCGGTGAGCAGAAACAGCCTCCTGAGCCGGGAGTGCTGTTCTGCTGGTCCTGGGAGCTTGTACCTCTTGCAGCGTGGCACGTGCCCCGCATGTGTCGGGAGCGGGGCAGGGAGGTGAGCAGCTGCACCGGGGAATGGACATGGCTGCTGCCTCTGCTCACGGGCTGTGCCCGCAGGACACAACCCATCTGGCTTTGCGCAGAGCCCGTTGCTGCCAGCAGCACAGCTGGTGAGTGCTATTAAAGCAGGCGGAAAGCTGCATCTCCTGCAGCTGTACCTGTGCAAGCACGTCCCTTCCTGGCCGGCTCTGGAGCTTTTTCCCCGCTCCGCCTGGACAGAGCAGTGTCTGCGCTCGGCCCGTGGTGGCAGAGCCCCGCGGTGATGAGCTGGGAGAGGAATGCATGGCTGGAAGAGGCCCTGCGGGATCCAGTGGCAGCGTCTCGGAGCTGCTGCCTGCCAAGGTATGCGCAGCGCGCTGTCAGCCAGGGCATTGCTGCTCAAGCCCTCCTCCTCTGCTGTCCTTGGCTAAAACCGGTGCCTTCTGCACCTTGTTGGTGCTGAGCTGCGGCTCAGCAGCTTCGCTTTGGCTCGGATGCTCCAGCTGTGCAGGGACCCTGCGGATCGCCAGCACCATTCTGCCAGGCACATGCAAAGGCAAACTGCACTGCCGTGCCGTGTTTTTATTTGCTTGAGCACCGATCCCCTGTCCCTGCGTGACCGCAGCAGCCTCGGTGTGGGTGGGGACAAGTTGGCAGCATCCCTTGGAATTGGTGAAGCATCATTTAAGTGTTGAGTGTTACGACCTCATCTGCAGGACTCAAAAGGACTCCACTGAATCGAAGTTTTCCTCCCCAGCGCCTCCAAATTTCATTTCAACAGTATCCATCACTGCTTATGTATGCCTTTGAGTCCTGCCTGAGAGGCAGGGAGGCTTTCCAAACCTCTTTCTCCAGCTTCGAAACCGCTAATATTGAAATTAAAAATATAAAAATTTCCATCTCCGTAAAGCGGAGCTCTTCCAAATCCTTACATGAAACCCCTGCGCCCAGCCGGGCTCCCTGCGAGTGAAGCACCAGACGTGTCAAACCCGCAGCACTGCTCTCGAGCCGCTTGGGGCCTCTGAACTGTTCAGCGTGAAGCAAACGGCCTCTTCCCGCTCCGTTAATGCCGGGGGAGCGAGGCCAAGCCATGCTGTCGCCCGCCTGCCCTGGCACGAGCTGCCCCTGACGTTCCTGCATCCGAGGGCTGTGGAGAGCGGCAAGGGAACCCTCCCGTACCTCCCAGCCGGGGAGCTAGCACGCCTCGTGGCAGCCGTTGCCTGCGCTGAGCCCGGCTGGGGGGTGCTGCCCCACTCCAGCCCATGGCTCGCCGGTGGCAGAGGTCCGTATTTCCCCACCTCCGCTGAACTGGTGTGTTTGGAAGAAGGAACTGTGGACAATCATGCCTGGCCACCCCAGTGCTGAGCATCCCTGAGTCCTGTCGCTCCCGTCTCACCTTCCCTGCTGCAGAGCACGGCTCCCAGCCCCTCCGAGACCCACCCGCAGCCCTCGTAACTCATCCCAGGCAAATTGCAAAAGCCTTTGATTATCTTTGGGGAATGCCTGCAACCGGTGTGGAGCAGCCCTGGGTCCCAGGGGACTGGGCTCTCCAGGGCTCGCAGCGGTTCCCGTCTTTGAGAGACGATGTCCCACTCACAGCCGGGGACAAGGTGTGGGGGTCCCCGAGGGCTCAGGACACTGGCTGACACCTCTTTGACTTCCCATCTTGTCTCAGCTCCCGGGGCAGCGGCTGGTTCTGTGCTGGGCTGAGCGGGGAGATGCTTCACGGCACATTTAAGCCATCGAGGCTGGGCCACTCCGCACAGCAGGTACTCGCCAGCCCTGGCAAGCGGTGTGCCGTGGTCTGCTGGTTCCCCATGTGCCATGGGGTCTTCTCCCTGTTTGCGATGAGGAGCACTGGCTATGGCTTCCTTCCCTCTGCCGCAGCACGTGGAGCCCACCGCCCCGATGCCCTGCGCTGCCTCCCTTCTTCCTCTTCTTTCCTCTCCATCCCTCTCTCACTGCATCCTCCCCCAGCCCTCCTGCATGCACACGGTTGGACTCGATGATCTTAGAGGTCTTTTCCAACCTCAATGATTCTATGATTCTATGATTCTATGATTCTTTCCTCTCCATCCCTCTCTCACCGCATACTCCCCCAGCCCTCCTGCATGCACACGGTGCCGGCGTGCCTCTCCCTGCTGAGCTGGCGAGTGCCCTTGGGCATCCCCCGGGGAGCACCGCTCTTGGTGCCAGAGCACCCTGGGTCCCTCTTGCAGAGGGGGCTCCCGGGGGGCTCAGGGCGACGGGCAGCCTGTGTCCCTCAGAGGTCTGGGTACCGCTGGCGGGGCAGGGAGAAGCCAGCGTTTCTGGTGCGCACGGGGCGGGTTGCTCGTGTCTCCGGCAGAGCTCAGAGCCCCGGCCCACCGTGGCCCCACCCTTCAG